CCTGCCACAGCAACACGTGGGGAGGGGCTCAAGAGGCAACGTCCACGTGGAGCGGGGGGGCCCAGAGCACTGGCGGCTACTCCGCTGCCCGGGGGAGGGTGCTGCCCCACTTGGTGCCGGGCCCGAGGAACGCTGGAGAGTTTGGCTCTCTGGCGCCAGCTCCGCCCCACTCACCATCACCACCGAGTCAGGCTCGTAGGGCACGTTGTAGTTCTTCGCAATCTCAATCAGGTACCTCTCCACCAGGATTTTGGGAGGCGCCTCCACGCTCAGCTTGTGCATCAGCTGGAACAGAGGGACAGGGCCATCAGCCGGCAAGGCAGGGCCAGGAGCTAGCATCCCTGGGGCGCCCAGGGCAGGGCTGTGGGAAGGAGCACTCAGCGCCGCTGCCGGCCCTGCTGCGTGCCTTGCGCCTCTGCAGCTCTGCCCTCAAGGGGAGCTGCGCGAGCTCCCAGCCCAGCGCGCTCTGCACTAGGCACCCGGGCCGGGGCTGCCCTGACGCAAGGCGCCCCAGCCACTTGGCCTTCCTCGCCAGACTGTTACCCTGTCATTGACGGTCCCGATCTGGTTGGTCCTGCACAGCTTGCCATACTCCTTGCTGTACTTGGCGCACAGCTGGTCCGCGACCTGAGCGGAAGAGTGGAGAGAATTCGGGCAGAGCAGCAGTTTCAGAGTTTAGCACCTGTCTCCCACAGGCCAGGAGGCCCCCAGGTCCCGCTACAGAGCCAGCGAGCGGCGTCTCACTCCCTCTCGTGCCACAGAGCGCAGGAGAGGGAGGCGGACCTGCAGCCCAGAGCCGCACTCTGCATTGGCCCCGCCCCTAAGGCTGCCAGCTCTGCTGGGACCCCACAGCGCACAGTGGGGCAAAAGCCCAGAATGGTCCTTGCCAATCAGATTTGGAAGGAAGTTCCTTCCTGCCCCCGAGTCTGGTGATCAGCTGGCCCTGAGCACGTGACCAGGACACACCATCCAGGCGTGAGCTTGGAGGGCTGGCCCAACGCCCAGGCTGTCCTGCCCCAGGTGCTGATGTACCGAGGCCTGGCTGAACACCACAGCCAAATCCACTCCCTCAACTTCTGCCCCTAGTGGCTCCAGGTGCCCCGACAGCCCTGCTGCCAACAGCAGGCCCGGAAGCCTGGGCAGGCTGTCCTGCGGCCAACACTGCGCACCCAGCTCGACTCACAATTTTCAGCTCTGCCACCTCAGCCTGCAGGCGGGGGGCAGCCCAGATGAGCGTTGAGACGGCTTCCGCCAGGCCGGAGTCCAGGTCCCTGCAGATGCAGGAGTCGGAGGTTACGTCCCAGCACCGCAGCGCCGGGGCAGGCCTGCAGCGCTCTGGCTGCACTGGGCTGGTGGGGGTCGGGGTCAGGCTCAGGCACTGCAAGGGGGAGGGTCTCAGAGCCCAGGCTCCGCCAAGCCTGTACATCTGCACTGCAATGAAGCAGCCCCCTTCCAAGCCAACCCTTCCCCAGGGCCCAGCAGCTCCTTCACCCCACCCCCAAGGGACCCTTGGAGTCAGGGCTCACTTCATGGACTGAATCAAGCCGAAACGGGCCAAGAGCAGGTCGCAGTAGAGCTCCAGGATCTCCATGGCCTCCACCAGGTAGTCTTCTCGGATGATGTGCTCCACGCGGATCCGCGCCCGCTCATCCTTGCCTGCTGCCAGGTAATCTGCGATCTCCTTCCGGGCCTTCTGGGCCAGCTCGGCTACAGGACAAGGCACGAGCGCGGTTACCCAGGGGCCACGCCCTGCCCTCCCCCTATTCGCTAGCTTCCTCCCCTCCTCCGGAGCCGGAGCCCTCCACTGTGGCCTGCCTCCCCTGCCGGAGCCCCGGTTCCTTTGGGCAGGGGCCAGGGCACTGTGGCAATCACACATCTGGGGGCGCTGGGTATCCCTCTGCCTGGACACCTGAGTGCGCACCACAGGGCACAGGAAGCGCCCCTGCACTGCAAGCCCCGGGCATGGGTTCAAGGCTGTTGCTACTCACCCAGCCCTGGAACCTGCCTTCAAAGCCTCGGCTACAGCTTTACTAAAGCCACCGAAGCACCAGCCCCCTACCTCCCATCAGCTCAAGAGCCTGGTCACACACTGGGTGGATTTAGCAAGGAGACGCTAAGGCAGTCTGCACCCTCCTACATGTGGTCGCCCCATCTCAAAACGGGTCTATTGGAAAAGGGTCAGAAAAGGGAAGCAAAACAGACTGGGGTATGAAATGGCTGCAGCATGAGAAAAGATTATTAAGACTGGGACTTTTCAGCTTGGAAAATATGACTGGGGGGGGACATTATGATAAAGGTCTATAAAATCATGACTGGTGGGGCGAAAGTAGATAAGAAAGTGCTATTTACTCATTTCCTCCTTCCCATAAAACAAACACACACACACACACACACACACACACACACACACACACACACACACGACAAATAAAATTAATAGGTAGCAGATTTAAAACAAAAGGAAGTTTTACTACACAATGCAGTCAACCTGTGGAACTCCTCGCCAGAGGGCGTTGTGAAGGCCAACACTATAACAGCGTTCAAAAAAAGCTAGATATGTTTTTGGAGTAGAGGCCCATCAATGGCTGTTAACCAGAACGGGCAGGAATAGTGCCGCTGGCCTCTGTTTGCCCGGGAATGGGCGACAGGGGAGGGAACATGTGAGGATTCCCTGTTCTGTTCACCCTCTCTGGGCACCGGCATTGGCCAGTCAGCAGGCAGGACACTGGGCTAAAGGGACCTTTGGTCTGACCCCGTCTGGCTGGTCTGGTCTAGGAGACCCTGGGAACAGGGCAGGTTTTAAGCTCTGAGCCAATTCTATTCCCAGGGAAATCAGAAGGCCCACATACACGGCTCTACAGCTGCCTGTGTCTTCCCTGCCCCAGTCCTCAGCCTCTCAAGCACCGGAACTTTTACCACCAGATGGAAACACCAACCGGGAGAGCGGGGCTGGCACAATCAGCAGGTCACAGCTAGCAAAAGCAGCGAGTGCTGGGGGTGGGCAGAGAGCACCGTGGAGCTGGCCCTGCAGCTACCGCCACCAGACACTCACTTTTCTTTTTCTCCAGCAATTTGAGGCGATTGATAACCAGGCGCAGGTTGACTCGCAAGCGCTCGGCCTTGAACCCGGAGCCCAGCATGACGTCCAGTTCCTGCAGGAAGAAGAAAGGAGCGTCACTGGGCCTCCTGCAGCCCTCAGCTGTCCCGCCACCACCTTCATCTCCTCTAGCCACGCACGGATGCCAACCACCCACTCACGTGTCTGAAAGGCGCCATCAGGCCAAAAGCCTCCGTTCGTCTTGCAACCCCCTGGAGCCACAAACCCTTCCTTTTCAGGGCACTCCCACACTCCACCTCAAGCGGGATACGCCTTCCACGGGTCGGGGAGCAAGAGCCGCTTCCGAGTGGCCTGGCTTAAGCCACCTGTTTCAGTCACGAGTGAGGCCCTTCTTGGATCGCGGGACGACTGCCAAACAATTGCAGCTCAGAGGCAGGCAAGACTTGGCAAACCACAGAAAAGGAATAATGGGCCTTGCCTGGCAGGAATTTGGAAAAGCTGGCGCGTACCTATTTGTGCACCAAACATTTTCTTGAACAACAGAAGCATTCGAGTATTACAGTAAACCTGAGGATGTTTTGAGAACCAGACATTTTGCTGCAACGACATTAGTCAAAAAAGAGATCGGTACAATACAAAATTCAGAAAACTAAATGTCTTAACTGCTCTAGAAATCAAGGCTGTCCCTTCAGGCTTTTCCATGCACGGTCACCGAATATCAGTGCAGAACATCCCACTACAACGGTCTCCGCTTGGCTTTGGAAGACCCGTCTGTGCTGAGATTCTGTGGATGCTGGCGTGCAGTGTTATGCAAAACGGACCATGTTTGCTTTGCTAATTGTGGCAAAGCCGGTAGAACTGCACCGGAATCCTACAACTCTCCAGAATCATTTAAGTCACATTCACTCAAAAAAACGTCGTTAGCTTCACAGGCGGACGTAGGGACTGCCTCCAAGGGGTGCCACTGCATTGGGAACACACTGACCTGTTTCACATCACACACTGGGGCTGGGACACACCGCAGCTGTTGGGAGCAGTTGTGTCCTGCCCTACCTCTCAGCCAGCCAGCGCCGGGCAGGGCGGGGTCTCTTCCCGAACTAGGGATGCTAAACTTCGATTAATGAACTAATCAAGTTGATACTTGATTAGCTGATGGGGGGGCACTCACGATCCCCCAGCACCTCTGCCTCTCAAATGGACAGGACCCACAGGCAGCTCTTGTACATTTCAAAGGAAGAGGCACAGCAGTCAGGCCTGCTTCAGTCCCTGCTCACGTCATTTCCCTGCTGCGCCTCCGCCTCCCCCCACGGAGATGGTCCTGGGGAGAACCTGCTTTTAAGACGGCTCCGGCTCCCTCCCTTGCTGACTCTCTCTGATAGAGGCTGGGAGGTGGGGGGGAGAATGATGGGGGTGAGTTGTCGAGTCACTGCTCGACTACATAATAAGCATTTGCTTGTCAGGTAGTTGACTAGGCGCTTACATCCCTATCCTGGGCATGGAAGAGCGCTTTGCTGCATGGCAGGAAGACCACAGGAGCCTGGCACAGTCGCCTTAAAGCAGCCGCAACCTGGGAGGCAGCACAGGGCTAGGCGAGGGGGGCAGGACAGGAAGTGGGGGGCTCCAAGGGCGGGGCTAGTGCTGGTGGGCTCCAGGGGGGGCAGCACTGGAGGCCTCTGGGGATGAAGCTAATACTGGGAGGCTCTGGGGGTGGGGTAGTACTGGGGAGG